ATCTTCTACTGCTTTCCCAGGCCATACCAGAGAGTTGGATTGGAAGAGGAGCAGCTGGGACTAGAACGGGCGCCCATTTGGGATGCTGGCACCGCAGGTGGAGGATTAACCTACTGTGCCATGGCAGAGGACCCCTACAAAGGAGTCTTAACCTTGCAAAAACTTTTACGCAGTGGCTCAGCCAAAGCAAAGCCACTAGCACACCCAATGCACCTGGGAACGGCAGGCTCCTGGGCCAGGGGGCGCTCTGGATCCTGGGGTAGACGATGAGATTTTCTACAGGGCTCAGCTAGCGGCATCAGAAACCCAGGGAAACCAGGAAGATGTAGCGTTCCTCCGCTTCCTGCTGCGGCCACGGCTGCTTGGTTTCCCGCTAGCCTTCCCGGCTGAGCAAAGCAGGGGCTGGGAGGAGTGGGTTTCAGAAGGAAAACCCGTCCCGGCTCTCTGGTGAGCGAGGTTTAGGGCTCACGTGCGACGTGCAGAGTGAGCTGGCCGGCACTCAGCTCTCCAAGAAAGTGCTGCGTTGGCCCTTTTGGGGGTTTTGTACACCAACCCTGCTGGCTGTGGCCGTGAAGCTTGGAGCTTCCTGGCACGGCTGGGGAAGCAGCTGGAAGGCCCTGGGGGCGGGGCGGGAGCCCTGCGTGGGTGGTCTGCCCTGCATATCTGCATGGAGCCAGAGGCCCTTCCTGTGGATGGAAGCAGCCCAGAGGCCACGTGAAGGCTCCAGACAATTGCACTCCATCGCTGCTGGGGCCCGGACACAGTCAGGAACTCCTGGCAAAGCAGCCCCGCCCCCAGCTTGAGACAGAAGCCCCCACCTGTGAAATTCTGCACCTCCCAACCTCTCCATCTGCTTGACAGGATCGCTGAGAGGATTTAAAAAATTATTTATTTGAAAGTCAGAGTTACACATAGAGAGAAGGAGAGGCAGAGAGAGAGAGAGAGAGAGAGAGAGAGAGAGGTCTCCCATTTTCCCAAATGGCTGCAGTGGCTGGAGTTGTGTTGATCCGAAGCCAGGAGCCAGGAGCTTCTTCCGGCTCTCCCACGTGGCTGCAGGGGCCCAAGCACTTGGGCCATCTTCCACTGCTTTCCCAGGCCATAGCAAAGAGTAGGATCGGAAATGGAGCAGCCGGGACTCTAACCAGCACCCATATGGGATGTGGGCACTGCAGGAGGCAGCTTTACCCACCACGCCACAGCACTGCCACCCACCCTGCCCCCATGGACTCTTAAAGTCACAGGTGGTCCCAATCCCTGTGTCCAATGCTTTTTCCTGTGCGTCCACACCCATGATAAGGTTTCCTCTGACACCAGGGCGCTGCTGTGGTTGGATGTGGTGTCGAGGCTGGGTCCTCCATACACTATTATGGCCTTTGAGGGGCGGGGCCAAGTGGGAGGTCCTCAGGGCACTTGAGGAGGTCGTGGGACCCCAGGCCCTCTCTGACTTCCTGACTTTGACCTAGTAAATGACATGATGCTTGGGATGACGGCATCTCGTATTGGAGGGCCTGGGTTCGAGTCGTGGCTCTGCTGCTGACTCCAGCTTCCTGATCATGCAGACTCTGGGAGGCAGCAGATGATGGCTCAAGTGGTTGGGACATCTGGCCTGAATTCCCGGCTCCTGGCCCAGCCCTGTCTATTGCAGAAACTTAAGGAATGGACCAGCAATGAAACATCCCCCCACCCAATAAATTAATAAGTAAACTGTCCAGTTTTGTATATTCCTGGAATTTTCCATGTAGTATTTTTGGGCCATGGTTCACTGCGGGTGATTGAAATCATGGAAAGCAAAACCATAGATAATGGACGACTGTACAGGCGAAGTCAGGGCCTACTGAGTGGTCACGACCCTGTAACAAACGGCCCTGAAGCCCGATGCACAAGCACGTTTTGCTGTGCTCATGGCTTCTGGGGGTGGGGCATTCAAGCCAAGACACAGAAGGGACGGCTGGGCTCTGCTGCCCGGTGTCCAGGCCTCAACGGGGGGCTCAGGGCCTGGAGATGAATCATCTGGAGGCTCCTTCACTCACACAAGGGGGTTGCTGTCCGGAACACTTGGGCTCCTTATCTGGGTTCCTTGACACAACAGTGCAGAGGGGAGCGGAGGGGCAACCGGACGAGGTCACCGTGTCCATGATTTTGCCTCGACACAGGGCACCGCTGCTCTGCATGCTGCTGACAGAGGAAGTCCCAGACCCCTCCGAGGTTCAGGGACAGGGGCCCTGCCCGCTGTCCGAGGATGCAGATTGGGGTCCCATCTCTGGATCCGGCTGCCCCCTGCCCTGAATCTTCTCCCCGCAAGGCCACTTTGTTCTCGTTGGGGTATAATTATTTTGAGACCTCCCCAGGCAACGCAGAACTTGGCTTGGGGACTTTAAGGGGAGGGGTGCCATTTTTAATTTTTGCATAAATGGGATCCTTTATACGTTTCATTGCACCTTGTGTCTTCATGTAACACGAGTTCATTTACTAGGACTTGTAGGTTTCTTTCTTTTTGTTGCTGTACAGCAGTCCCCAGTCTGCGTGTGTTCACGCTCACGATCTTTGGAATACTGGCTGCTGTGTTTTTTTCTGTTCTACCAGTGCTGCAGTAAATGCTTCTCTACGCACTGTTTGATGCTTATGGCTCAAACTGTGACTGTTCCCCGGAGGGCGCTGGTTGTTACCTCCATAGTGAAGGAACACACTCTGATGGCTGCCACCGACATCCATTGAGAAAGGTGAGTGGCACCGTTAACTACAGAGTATAAAAGTGTTCGTTTCCTCTGGGCCAATGTTTAGTCTCACAGTCAAGATGCCAGTGTCCCAGAGTGGGGTCCCCAGTGGTCTCCCCGCAACAGCTCTTCACTTGCAGGTTCCTTCCTCATGTGGATCTGGGAGGCAGTGGTGAGGGATCAAGTACATGGGTTCCTGCCACCCACCTGGGAGACCTGGATTGATTCATGGTTCCTGGCTGCAGCTGGACCCAGCCCGGCTCCTGCAAGTATTTGAGGAGTGAACCATTAGACTATGAACGAGTGAGCGAATCTTCTCCCATCCACCAGCTCACTCTCCAAATGGCTCCAATGCCTGTGGCTGGGCCAGGCTGAAGCCAGGAGCCAGGAGTTCCATCCATGTCTCCCACATGGGTGGCAGGGGCCCAAACGCTTTGGTCATCGTGCCATCGTCTGCTGCCTTCCCAGGTACATTGGCAGAAAGCTGGATTGGAAGTGGAGCATTCAGTTCTCCAACCAGGGGTTCTGATAGGAGATACTGGTGTTTGAAGTAGCAGCTTAGCCCTTCATCACAATGCCACCAACCCCTCACCACTTTACTTTTCTAAGGCAAGGCCCATATTTCTCTGGGAAGAAAGCACACCTCTATAATGTCCTCTTCTGAGCCGGGAATGCCGGCCCTCCGTTGCTGTGGGTGCAGGGAGGATGTGCCCAGCGGCTGGATGTGCTGGTGACGTGGGCGCTGCTTCCGGAGCGTGGGAATTGTGCTCCATTCATCCTGTTTGGGAACTGTGTCGACTCTGGGACTCAGGGGACTCGAGCTGGGGAGGTGGGGAGCAGCGTGTTGGGGGACGTGCATTCCTCTAGCTCCAGGACGTCCTGGTGCAGAGGGAGATGGCAGGTGGCAGGTGCGCCAGGCTCACCAGGCTGGGGCGAGACGCAAGAGGTGATTCAGAACCCTTGAGAGGGAACCAGCCCACCCTGGAGCTGTAGAGGTCTGGGGGCAGATAGGGGCAGCTCGGCGAGGTAGGTGAGCTCCTTGTCAGCCCATGCGCTCATTGTTTATGCACTGCCTTGACAGTTCTTTCTTTTTACTTATTTATTTGCATTTTATTTGAAAGGCAGACAGCCTCCACAAGCGCCTGCAACAGCCATGGTTAAAAGAGGCCGATACCAGGAGCTGGGTCTCCTAAGTGCATGGCAGAGTCCAGTACCTAAGCCACCATCTGGTGTCTCTCAGGGTGCACCGCGGCAGGGAGCTGGAATTGGGAACAGGGCTGGGACTCGAGCCCTTGCACCCCGATGTGGAATGCGGGAGCCCCGAGCAGCGCCCAACACGGCTTCCTTGACAGTTATTTCCAGGGTGCTCATTGATGTGTCAGAGACCGTTCCAGACCCTGTGGCTGTAACCGGGAAAAAGAAGGGTGTCTTTGCCTTCCTCCGTGTGCATTAAAGAGGAGGAGCCAGGACAGCCTATGGGACACACACAGGTGGACGTTACTGGAGAGCAAAGCACGGTGAAGCCACAGAGAGAGGGAGGGCGCCGGGGTGCCCTCAGGGTGCTGAGCAGGCTGCTGTGACAAGGTGGCCGTCCAGCTGAGACAGGGTGCAAGGGAGAGCCTGGGGCAGGTAGAAGGAAGGGCCAGAGCCCTGAGGCGGGAGGGGAGGTATCTGGTGTGTTTGAGAGACAGCATGGAGGCCAGAGCACCAGGGACTGCGCAGGGGTGTGCGCAGAGGGGAGAGGGGTGAGGCGTGGAGGGCCAAAGAGCCCAAACAAGGCCGGCATGCGGACTTGCAGATGGTGACGGTGGTGGTGGTGGGAGGTGACATTTTCAGCACCTAGTCTCTCCAGGTGGGAAACAGGCCCAGGCTGATGTCAGGTGACGGCTGTGTGCATGTGTCAGGGAAGCTGGTGTGTTTGTGTGAAAGCACGTGTATGTGTGTGGATAAGTGAATGTGTGTCTTGCATGTTGCCGTGTGTGCACGTGTGTCTGTTTATACTACCATGTGTGTTCATGCATGTTCCAGGGTATATGTGTCTGAGCAATCATGCATATACATACGTTTCTCCCTCTCTCTCTCTCTCTGTGTGCTTGTGTGCTTGTATTGTTGTGGGTGTAGTTGTGTATAGGAGCATGTGTCTGTGTTGTATGTATGTATATGTGTGGTGCCTCTGATAACACACAAGCCAGACAGCTCCCAAGGGAAATGACATCATGAAAGGGAGTGTCTCCAGCATCCTGGCTGGGTCTCTGTGCCTGCCATGGGTCACAGACTTGTGTCATTGATGAGGTCACAGAACACAGCCAACATCCTGGTGACCTCCCAAGAAAGCCCAGCAGCCACGTGGGCCGGGGCCATCTGAAGGGGTCAGCACAACTCAAGCCAACTCTCACCCAACAACCAGACCAAGGAGAACCCGGGCTCGGCTCTCAAATCATGAAACGCCACTTCTCGGACCACAGGGGAGAGCAGTTGCCAGCTGATGGGACCACCCTCAGCTTGACCACACCTGAGTCCACGCAGGAGAGCCTGGGAGTGTGCTGGCCAGGTAGGGCTAAAGAAAGAGTGGGTGGCGGGCGGACAGTCAGGCTGTGCTCTCCGGGATGGAGGCTCTGGGGAGAGGAGGGTCCAAGGTAGTTCCCCGATGCTGCTGATGAAGGATTGCGTCGGCCCTAAGAGTGGGTGGGAGGCCGGCGCTGCGGCTCACTAGGCTAATCCTCCACCTTGCGGCGCTAGCACAATGGGTTCTAGTCCGGTCGGGGCTCCGGATTCTGTCCTGGTTGCCCCTCTTCCAGGCCAGCTCTCTGCTGTGGCCCGGGAGTGCAGGGGAGGATGGCCCAAAGTGCTTGGGTCCTGCACCCCATGGGAGACCAGGATAAGCACCTGGCTCCTGCCATCAGATCAGCGCGGTGTGCCGGCCGCAGCGCGCCGGCCGCAGCAGCCATTGGAGGGTGAACCAACGGAAAAGGAAAAGGAAAATGAAGACCTTTCTCTCTGTCTGTCTCTCTCACTGTCCACTCCGCCTGTCAAAAAAAAAAAAAAAAAAAAAAAAGAGTGGGTGAGGAGGGGAGGGCAAGGAAATCGGTGCTTGCGGGAGGCGCTGCAGGACCTGGACTGTTCTGAAGACGTGTGAGATGATTCCAGGAGGTGAGCCTGCTAAGCGGTGACTGCCCTGTGTTTATTTTCGTGTGTATTAAAGAGAAGCAGAATTGACGCGTCCATCCTGTGACTGGGGCAGTGACATACAATCATAATACATGGATGAGAGCTCACCTAGAACAGCAGTCTGAAGACCACTCAGCCGTGTATGTGAGCCGTGCCAGATAGGACGGCTCCGTGGCTCCACCACCCACTCACCATCATCTCTGGGTCTCTGTCTTACTTGGTTGAATGGGAATCAGAACCAGGCCATTTCTCAGGGTTGCTCTGAACACAATGGCCCTGGTGGCAGGGCACCATAAGGGCTCAGGAGGAGGCAAGGGGTCCCTTGGGTAAGATAAAACCGTGTTCCCAAGGGTGATAGGGACCGTGGTTCTGGGCAGCTTCGCTGAAGTACCTCCCTTGCCTTGCCTTGCAATGGACTTTTACTGAGCTGCTTATTGACACAGCCCCCAGAGTTCCCTTGGGCCCCCCTTAGGATCGGTCTCCCCCTCCCCGTCCCCAGCGCCCCTCACTGCCAGCTCCTGGTACCCTGCTCCATTTTGTCCTGCAGAGTCTTCTTTTCTAGAATGCCACTGAAATGCGAGCTTAAACTCCATGGCCGCTTCCCCATTGCGCAGTGCATTCATAGTTCATTCATTCATTCTCAGAGATCATTGCGGCCTGCGGATGTGCCACCAACCCCTTCTGGGGTTTAGCCTACTGTTTATGATCCTGTTCATGCATTATTCCCTCTCTGGCATCACCCAGAGGGCGGTGATGGGGAGTGACTTTATCATGAACCCTACTTTAGGAAGAAACAGAGGCAGGGGGATGACGGCACCTGCTCCAGGGCCCCGGGGGAGGGGAGGGGGGGCGGGTGATGGCACCTGCTCCAGGAGCCTGTGGCTTCTGTAGGGAGGTTGCGGACAGGAACCTTTGGGGGCGCTGACGATCGTGTCCTTGCTTCTCAGGGATCCTAAAGGACACCCACTCTCCCCCGCCAGGGCCCGCCATTCCCCATGACGAGGATACCTGGTTTGCCTCCAGGGCCCGGCGAGTGCTGGGCTGGAGCAGCTCCCCATCGTCGCAGTCCGCCTCCGAGTACCAGTCCTACTCGCAGTACAAGTCCTGCTGCTCCTGCATGTGTGACGAGGAGGGGCCCCCGCAGAGCGTGTGCGCGCTCTACACCCACGTGCAGACCGTGCGCGGCGTGGCGGTCGCCTGGGAGACCGAGGAGGGCTTCGAGCCCATCAGCAGGAAGCCCCGCATCCGCGAGGCCGAGTTCATCAAGAGGCAGAGGAGGAAAGGTTCGTCCTTCGAGATGGCGTCCAACACCGACCTGCGCTGGGAGCTCGAAGCCTGTCAGGACGACTGCTGCTCGGAGCCCGAGGACCCGGAGCAGCTGCTGGAGTGCTCCCCGCAGGAGCTGCGGGCGCCGCCGGACTGGCTGGTCACCACAAACTACGGGCTGCGCTGCGTGGCCTGCTGCCGCGTCTTCCCCACGCTGGGGGAGCTGCTGGAGCACGCCCAGTATGGCATCCGCGAGGGCTTCAGCTGCCAGATCTTCTTTGAAGAGATGCTGGAGAGAAGGCGGGCCCGGGAGCGAGCCCAAGACCCGCAGCTGGAGGAGGAGGACGACGACGACGAGGAGGAGGAGGAGGAGGAGGAAGAACAGAGCCCTTCAGACACTAGCGAATACCCGAGCCCAAAGGGCAAGGTGCTCCAGTCTCAAGAGCTGCAGCAGAAGCAGCAGTGAGCCCAAGGGGAGGCACCCACCCCCGCCCTCACCTCCACAACGTGGGGCTGCCCCTTTCCACCCCAATATATTGATGCAGGATCCATCCGGGCCACCAGGGCGGGAGGAGGGGACCACGCGGGGACGATGTGAGGGCGGAAGAGCAAGAAGGGACGTCAGGCCTCCTTCCCAAGGGCCCGGAATCCAACTCAAAACCTGAATGCGAAGCAGAGGGCTTCAAGTGTCTTCGGGGGTGGGCGCAAGATCTGAGCCTCCCCTCCCCCCAGCCAAGCACCGTGGGCACAGGGATTTCTATTTTTTGCCGATGGATCAAGCAGGCCCACACTTGAGCCAAGGAAGTTTCGGCCCTATTTTTTTCACTTAGGAATCCGTCATATGCCCCAATTCTATGTCTTATATTATTGGGATTAAACCTGAATAACTCAAATGCAAGACAGTGGTAACTGAGAGAACCCACAGGGAGGTGCCGCGTCTGTAGGTTGCACCTTGGCATGGGCAGTTGGAGACAGAGAGCTTTCCAGGGTTAAGGGCTGGGGGGTGGGGGTGGGGGGTGGGGTTCTTCTCATAGGTAGCGAACTATACGCTTTAAAGTGACAGCACATTCATCTACACCCTCCCACTCATCCCCAGTTCGGGGTAGGGTGCATTAATTGAATACAAGACAGCATTCAAGCCGGCGCCACGGCTCACTAGGCTAATCCTCCGCCTTGCGGCACCAGCACACCGGGTTCTAGTCCCAGCTGGGGCACAGGATTCTATCCCGGTTTCCCCTCTTCCAGGCCAGCTCTCTGTTGTGGCCCGGGAGTGCAGTGGAGGATGGCCCAAGTGCTTGGGCCCTGCACCCCATGGGAGACCAGGAGAAGCACCTGGCTCCTGCCATCGGATCAGTGCAGTGCGCTGGCCGCGGCGGCCATTGGAGGGTGAACCAACGGCAAGGGAAGACCTTTCTCTCTGTCTCTCTCTCTCTCACTGTCCACTCTGCCTGTCAAAAAAAAAAAAAAAAAGACAGCATTCGAGGTCCCTTGTGTGTTAGGTGTGCCGATGGGGGCACATACAGATTGCACATCCCTTATCCCAAATGCTTGGGACCAGAAGTATCGCTGGGGTCAGATTTTTTTTTTTTTTTTGGATTTGGGAATATGAGCACATATGTCGTGGGGAAGGGACCCAAGTCTGAATGCAAAGCTTCTGTTTTACATGCACCTGACACAGATAGCCTGAATGTAAGTTATGCATCACTTTTAGTGTGCCTGGTGGTGACCTGAACAAGGCTGGTCAAAGCCAAGTGGGAGAAGGAAAAGTGGATTCATTAGAGAGAGGTTTGGGAAATAAAATCCAAAAGGACTTGGGGGTGGGTGCATGAGACAGAGTGGGGAAAGGGTATTCTCAAGATGGCTTCCCAGGTTTCGAACTGAACAAAGGAGGGCTGGTTGTACCTGGAGCTGTTTGAGAACAGATGTGTGAGTGTAGATGCATATGTGTGTGCATGCATGGATGCCAGCATGCATGGGTACATATATGTGTGTCTGCATGCGTGTATGCAAACATGCATGGGTGTGTAAGCATGGGTGGGGGCATGCATGGGTGCATATGTGTGTGTCTGCATGCAGTCAGGCTTAGGTGCTGTGAGGGGTTGGTAGGAGGTGGCTAGCACAGGTCAATTCTGAATATTAATGGCATATCCAAGTGGAGAGGTTGAGTGGGAAGGGGTTTATAGTTTGGAACTCAGAAGACAAGTCTGGATTGGAAAATGAGGGCATGAACACTACTTGGATGGTGCTATTTTTAAAACCACCACAGTGCATGGAGGAAGCTAACGGGGAGCTGGGGGCGGGGTCAGCCAGCATGTGGGCTGGGATGTAAGAAATGGGCTGGGAGCATTTTGTAGGGTTTTCCTTCAAAGTTAACCAAAGCCAGATATCATGGTTTCCAGGAGTGGTGAGCAGTGTTAGAAGCTAAGGGGAGCTGGGGTGAGCTGTTGATGCCTTGGTGCCTGGAGGCTGCTGACGGCTTGGATGGGGCAGACTCAGCGGCTGAGCAGGGCTGAAGTCGGACAGGCAGCGGCGGTAGGGGACACCAGGCAAAGTGCCAGAGACAAGCGTGGTGCATGTCGGGTAAAAAAGGAGAGCAACAGTGGCTGTAGCGAGACCAAAGGATCCTCGTAGAGGAGGCAGAGATGGGAGAGGGAGGCCATTTCTATACTAGTGAAGACGCTTCCTTAGTGAGAGAGACCCACAATACAAGAAGGAAGGGGGCTTAGCAGGTAAAGCCACCACATGCAGGGCTGGCATCCCATATGGGTGCCGGTTCGAGTCCCAGCTGCTCCTCTTCTGATCCAACTCAGTGCTATGGCCTGGGAAAGCAGTAGAAGCCACCCACGTGGAGGTCTCAGAATGGCCGTCAGCCGTGGGGATGAGGACGCCCTGCACCTTGGCGAGGTGTGAGGCAGAGATCACAGACTTCCTAAATGCTCCGGGAAAGGGGCTGGAGGAGCTGCAGGAAGGCGCGGGGCCCCTGACGTGGTGCTAGCTAGCTGGTGCTGGCGGGGGCAGGGCGGGGGTGCTTACCAAGCAGGTGGGATCCGAGGACAGCCTAAGAGGACGGGTGGTGGCTGGGCCAGGAGTGGTGAGCGCTGATGGGGTGGACGTCTTTACGTTAACAAAGCAGGCTGTGAGGGAACGGACATGAGACAGGGCATGTAAGGTTTGGGATTTGAGCCGTTAGAAGGCAAGTGTTATTTAGGTGGGAAACTCTGACATTATTAGGAACAAGTCTGGTTCCAAACACTGTATGGGTACTGAATGGTGTTATGCGCTCCACAACCCAAGGGGCTAGGTTCTGTTGTTATCCCTGTTTTAATGGTGATGAGCCGTGACCTTGCCCAAGGTCGTCTGGCTGGAGGGCGGTGAGTCAGCCTTCCTACCAGGCAGGTCGGCTGCAAGCCCACGCTCTAACCAACACACAGAGATGCAAACTTGGATGTACAGACAGATGCCGGGTATTTAGGAGAGCAAACATGTCAACTCCACGGGCTGTGTGTTCTGTAGATTAAGTAGCAGCACCTGGAGATCAGGGGAAGATGAAGGGCATTTAGGACAAGTGAAGGATGACAGCCACACTGGATAGGCAAACATCTAACGTAGGGGCAGCTTCAGCTGAGACGGATGTGGAGGAGGGAGGCATAGACCCATTCTTTAAAAAAGATTTATTTATTTGAAAGGCAGGGTTACAGAGAGGCAGAGAGAAAGAGAAGTCTTCCATCCGCTGGTTCATTCCCCAAATGGCTGCAATGGCCGGAGCTGCACTGATCTGAAGCCAGGAGCCAGGAGCTTCTTCCGAGTCTCCTATTCAGGTGCAGGGGCCCAAGCACTTGGGCCATCTTCCACTACTTTCCCAGACCACAGCAGAGAGCTGGATAGGAAGTGGAGCAGCCGGGACCCACACTGGTGCCCATACGGGATGCCGGCACTGCAGGCGGCAGCTTTACCCACTACGCCACAGCACCAGCTCCTAGGATCTATTTTTTAAGGCGGTAAATTGTTTTTATAACACCAACTTGACTCAGTACTCATTTGTGGTTGAATACATCACCCCACAGAGGCTCAGGGCCTCCAAAGACAAGGTCAGTAACGGGGTGAGTAGGGGTAACCTTTCCAGAAAGCTCAGGGGACTTCGAATGTTCTAGATCAGGAAACAGTTTATACCCTCTATTTTCCCAAAGCATAGTAAAATATGGAACTCATTTTATGAGCGTTACATAAGCCTGACAACAAAGAGCCTGCCAAAAATTGGCACCAAAGCAGCCAACGATGTATCAGTATCACCAATGAATGCAAAATACCAGTGCATCAAAACTAACACCACGCAGCCGGTGCCGCAGCTCAATAGGCTAATCCTCCACCTGCGGCGTCGGCACCTCGGGTTCTAGTCCCGGTCGGGACGCCGGATTCTGTCCCGGTTGCTCCTCTTCCAGTCCAGCTCTCTGCTGTGGCCCAGGAGTGCAGTGGAGGATGGCCCAGGCGCTTGGGCCCTGCACCCACACGGGTGACCAGGAGAAGCACCTGGCTCCTAGCTTCAGATTGGCGCAGTATGCCGGCCAGAGCGGCCATTGGGGGGTGAACCAATGGAAAAGGAAGACCTTTCTCTCTGTCTCTCTCTCACTGTCCACTCTGCCTGTCAAAAAAACAAACAAACAAACAAAAAACACCATGCAGAGTCACCAGGCCTGAGTGTGAGTCTCTTCAATAATGATGATTAAATTCGGCAACACTTCCTATTGAAAGAGGCCTATAATGATGAGCTCCCTAGATAGTAAGGAAACCTGCCATCAGAAATAAGCTCACACCTCTCCGGTAGGTGACTTCTCGCAAGGGTTCCAGGATCACTCAGTGGAGGAAAGAAAAATCTTTTCAGCAAACGGTGCTGGCACAATTGGATGCCTGCACTGAAATGAGTGTCCTGGCATCTCCTCTGCACACTGTATATAAAAATGAACATAAAATAGAGAAGATCTAAAGCCAAGAGCCCAAACTATAAAACTCCTGGAGGAAGTACCGATGCAAATTCCGAGAGTTGAAGACACCTGTCCATCTAAAAACTTGTTCCATGAGTATTCGAAGAAACACAATAATACAAAAGCATGAAAACAACCTTCATGTTGATGAATGGCTAAACAAAATATGGTCTGTTCCTACCATGGAATATTATTTAACCATAAAAGGACTGAGGCACTGTTCCAAGTCGCTCAAGGATAAACCTTGGAAATTTTAGGTGACGTGAAAGAAGCCAGACACTAAAGGCTACATAATGTGTGCGGTATCCAAACAGGCAACTGTAGGGAGACAGAGAGGGGGTTGGAGGGAGGGCAGGAAGGGGGTGAATGTGAGGGGGTGGGGTTTCTCCTTGGGGTGGCAAGGCCATTCTGGAATTCCATAGTAGGATTTGTTGTGCAACTTGCTGAACATATTACAAACCACTGAACTACACACTTTAAAGGCTGAAGTTTATGGTATATAAATTATGTCTTAATTTAAATAATATTTAAGGAACAATTTTTTTAAAGATTGATTTATTTATTTGAGAGTCAGAGAGAGAAGGAGAGGCAGAGAGAGAGGTGTTCCATTCACTGATTCACTCTCCAATTGGCCGCAAATAGCCAGGAGCCAGGAGCTTCCTCCGGGTCTCCTACACAGGTGCAGGGGCCCAAGGACTTGGGCCAGCTTCCACTGCTTTCCCAGGCCCTATCAAAGAGCTGGGAGCTGGATTGGAAGTGGAGCAAGCGGGACTCGAACCGGTGCCCATATGGGATGCCGGCACTGTAGGCAGCAGCTTTACCCGCTACACCACAATGCCAGCCCCAGGAACAATAATATTATAACCGAATTTATAAATGCCTTAGAAATGAACAAAGCAGTGATATGAAATATT